TCGCCGGGGCCGGGCCCGAGGACGGCGGCGGCGGGGGGGTCCGGGGAGAAGCGCCGGGTTCCCCGCGGGCGCTGGGGGTTCGCCCCGCTCCCCCGGGACCCGGCGGCCACGTCTGCGGGACCGCTCCGGAGCGGCCCCCTCACACACAGGGCGTTTAGTTCGGGGGGGCAGCCCGGCTCTTGCCCAGGTTTTACGGCACCTGGAGCCCTCCCTGGGTTTTGGCTGTATGGGAAGGAGCGAGACGCGATGGCTGTAATCGCGCCTAAAGCGTTACACCCGGGAGCGGGACACCCCTTTGCTCCCGCCCGCCGCCCCGGGGTGCCCCTCTCCGGGCCGTTTGCAGCCAGCGGGTCCGGACTTAAAGTTTAGGCCGGCGGCCCTTGCCTCACGGTGCGCCTCGGAAGGTGGCTGAGAAGGGACGCGAGTCTTTCTCCGTTCACACATCTCGGATTACTGAAGTAATCCTCTGAACGGACGGCTGTACTTGCAAAAAGCAAAGCAACAGGTCGGATCTGCAGCTCGGCCGGCCGCCCGCGGCCCCCGGCAGGGCTCAGCCCCTCACGGAGGGGACGGGAGCGCCGTTTCCCTCCCGGCCCCGGGGGAAAGCAGCCCGGAGCCCGGCTGGTGATTGGGGGGTGGGGGGGGGTGGATTTCGGTGCAGCCCACCGACAGGCCTTGCACGTGCAGCGGCGGGGGACACGGCTTCGGAGACCTCGGGGACACAGGGAGCCGCTCCCCGCTTTTCCAGGCTGATTTGGGGCAGAGGCGGAGTGCGGGAGGTGAGTGACCAGCTGAAGCGACCCCGGGTAAACTGGGAGGCCGGCTGGAAAGGGGCAGGGAGGAGAGGGTCCTGCAGAGCGGTGGGGAGAGGCTGGGTTTCCCTGAGGATCCATCCCCGTGGCCACTTCCCCGCCAGCTCTGCCCGGCTCCCGAGGCCAGGAGAGGGTCATTCAGGCTTCAGCAGGGATAAATTCCTCCCAAAACAGGTGACTGCAGTGCATCGCTAGCTCCTCTTCTTTCCTTGGTAAAAAGGTACACTTTTGCAACGTGTAATGAAAGGTAAGATGTCCCAAAGATCCCACTGAAATTATGTGGGTGTGCCATTTCTGTGAGCCTCTGCTTGAGTGAAATAAATAGGAGCAGAAGTCCAACTTGCTTTTCTTATGGCTCAGCAAGTGCGATAGTACAAGATACTGCAACTCTCTTGGCAAGGTGCTAAGTATCTTCATTTTATAACTCTTTTAAACAGTTCAAAACTATTCGAGCACTGCAGGTATACTGGAACAGTCACAAAAGTATTTCGTATCATGGCGAAAGGATATGAATGTAAATATACGATGAAATGAAAGGAGAATCTAATCTGGCCACCTTGTGATGAGCATGGAACATCAGTCTCGGATCAAACACCTACATGAGGCCTGAAGTCACCCCAGAAGACTGTGTGCTCTGGTTACCCAGATGCCTGGCAATTCTTTGTCCTACCTCGTTTCTCAGACTGTTTTATAAGTGCTGGGAGAAATGAGGGCTCAGGCTTCCCCGGACAGCAGCAGTTAGTTTATTCCTTTTGTACGGTTAGAGAGGGAGAGAGAATTTCCAACGTTGCTTGACTGCAGACCATTTACAGGTTTATAAATAGTAATCGGTATTTTGCCTTCCTTCCTGTAAAAGATCTGCAGTCTCTGCATAATCTGGGTTCTTCTGATGAAAAACGCTATTTTGCTAAGGAACCCATGTGCAGGAGTGACCATGTTTTGAAATGGAGTGGAAACGAGGCACTCTAGTTTTATTCCAAGGTGAAGCAGAGAAAGTCAGTGATGGGCATGGATAAGTGTTTCTCCTTCCTGGATTTCTTGAGGTAAACACTACAGACGTGGGACTTCACAGGGAGATAGGGATAGCTCATTTGCTATTCCGCTGTATAAAACCATGTTTGTGTCAAAGGCTGGGATTAATACATGTCTGGGAAGGCCTGCGCAGCATTACCTTTCATTTCCTGTCTTTCAAGATTAATCTCAGGTTAAGTGAATTTCTCGTTAATGGTCAGAGGCAATTCAAAGCTGGTGAAATCATCACAAGAGACAAAAGCTATAATTTCATACACATCCAAAGCTTAGAGCTGGTAACAGCTCTCCTTACTGCAGATAAGATTAATACTTTTTATCTTTTTTTTTTTTTAATTGTGAATAATTATGATAGGAGAAATGGAGTCATCTGTACCTAAAGGAAAGGTTCTATGTTCTGGTCCCTGCTTGCCAGCCAGCATCATTGCCCTATTATCCGTATCCTGTATGACAACTGGTCAGCCTCATTCTACCAGTCCCTCCTGGATGCTGGGAGGAGAAGGGCGTTGGTGTGTCTGGAGCTGCTAAAACAGAGCTGCGGAGCTGAGCATTACCATCCTGAGGACACCGTAGCCCACCCCCCATCAATCACAACAGCTTTGCCTTAGTGCTGAATGAAAGGGAGACAAGTCTGGTGCCTGTGGTAAAGCCCTTGTAAAGGAGGAGCTGTTGCCCTCTACCCCTGTCCCCGCCCAGGACATCTCGGATGGGACTGAACTTCTTCTGGGCTTGTCAGATGCTACAGTTATGTTAACGTGTCAATGCTGAAAGTGCCATGTATCTGAAAGAGCTACCAGAATTACCAAAGCTGCCATATATCACTGCAGAAATAAAATACAGCAACAGCAGGGTCTTCTCACAGAGTTGGACACAAAGTTCTTGCTGAAGTTGAAATGGTACTGGCTTTGCTTTACTACTGCTTTATTGGTGATCAGACACCCCCTAACAAAGGGGGGGGGGAGAAAAAAAAGAGACAAAGATATTAGTAATGACCTTTGGGGTTTTTTTGTTATTGTTGGGGTTTTTTTAACAAGAAAAATCCATGCATGTCAAAATGTAAACTAAGCACAAAGCTTTTCAAGAGCTACCCAAACCATGCTCTAGTTTGCAGGTAGTTGAATAGAAATCCAGCATATCTCAAGGTACCCAAAATGGATATTGGACAATATTTAGTCAAGGAAGAATTTTGCTTTTAAATTTCCTTTTACTTTTTTCCTTCTTTATTACCACAGTGGTGAAAATAGAGGGACTAACCAAAGTGTCACAAATTCATCTGGAGCCAGCTCAAATGAAGGCATGTCGGTCACAGCTTAGTACCAGAACTGTTTATTTGGACAGTGCTTAAAAACTAGAAATGAGAAAGCTCTTACTCTGCACCTCATCTGCCATACTGAGAATGGACTGTCACCGTTTTGTTCTTTGGTGCGTTAGTAAAGAAAATAAGGACCTAATTTGCACCTGGCGTTTTGACATGCTAATATGAAATAATTCTGACTCTGTAGGTATGTAAATCTTTCCACCCACTGGCTATTTGGCTACTGGTTTGCTCAGGTACCATCCTTACAGAGGGAGAGTTGTGTTGTACCCTGCTGGCAGCTGTAGTAGTAACAATTCAGTAGTAGCTCCCACCTCTCCCAGAAAAGCAGTGGTAGCTTTAGCTCCTGCAAGAGCAGCGGTAGCTCCAGCTCCAGTCCATGCTGGGTCCCCCTTCTCCCCCGGGCTGAGGCTGCAGGCTGGATCGCGGTTGATGACCACGCAGGGGCTGCACAGCGCACTGCGACCCCCTGCAACAGCTGGCTGGGCTCGCCGTTGGTCCCGTGGGTTTGCAGAAAGTCGTCGTTCTGCTTCAGTAGTCTGTGACTCTCGAAACAATACAAAACTTCTCATTTTAAAACCTGTGGTGGTATTATGAAGTATGAGCAGTGCCTGTCTTCGGTCCCCCTTTGAAGCTTTCATGGAAGCTATTTAACGGCTCTGCTGTTCAGTCACTCTGTTGTAATCGAATCCTTGCCTATTTGATTAAGTACAGTATTAAATCCGATAACCATGCCTGTGGAAATACAAAAACTCCACCCTTTCTGCCTTTGAGATGGCTAATATTTCACCACCATTATTATGTGATTTCTAAGAAATCATCTTCAGTTACCAATCAATTAAAACACACAGAGAAGCTGTTTTTCGGATTTTTTTTTTCTGAATAATTCTATGAAAAATTAATACATAATGAATTTT